TTCTGTGAACTCCCAATGCCTAGAAGCGATAATCGATGGTAATACTTCAAACAAAGTGTCTTCGCGAGTTGGCGAGTTGGAACTGAAGCAAAAAGTACTTTCGCATTGCGACATCGAACAATACAAGAGCGGCTTCGACGGATGTTGTCATCGGCTTTGCAGTGGAAGAGAAATGGATCTCATCTTCAGGAGCCAAGTGGCATAAAGGACACAATCGCCTTAAAAATTCTGGAATAGATTGTCTCGCTTGGTGTCGTTGTTTCTCGACTTCCAGAAAATGCACCCCACAACGAAATCGCAGGAAGAATGTCCTCAAGGAGATAGGTTGCCATGTTGATAGGATTCGTTCATATCGGTAGACTGGCTTAATGTGCTTGTACCATCGCTGAATCCTCGAAGAATGGTTGGAGAAGACACTAGCAATATGGACGTGTTTGTAGATCCGTTGAAAAGACTGCATGTCAACTGTTGTAGCCTCCGTTGACCTGATATCCGGCCAGAATCGATGGAAGAAGGCAATGATGTTGAAACCCGGACTTGAAAATGGCGCCGTGAATCCGAGAGTTGGGAAGATGAGATGGGCTGATTGAAAGTCATGACGGGATTGGGTGGTTTGTTTTTTGGGTTTAGGGGAATATGTTGAACGAGTGAGGGCCCTCGGGCCACTGGGTTGAGGTGGAATGCGGATGTGAGTTGGTTTTTGGGCTTAGGAGAATGCGCTAAACGAATGAGGGCCCTCGGGCCACCGGCTGCAGGTGCGATGCGGATAGAGCAAGTCAACCCGGGTCAGCGGAATTTTAGACGAGTTGTCCATTAGACGAAATGTCCTTGGACCACTTGTCCGTTAGACGAGTTGTCTTTGGACGAAATGGCTGGCGCCCCCCCCCCCTCCCCCCCACCCCACCCCCCACCCCCTCCCCATCCAAGAAAAACACCGCAGGAGGTTAAGTCCATTCCAGCGCCCTGCTTTCCATCAGTCGCCCGCACTTCGCCATGGAGACGAGCTACCCGGGCGACCCCGCGGGCTTCCGGAGCCGCCTGCTGACCTTCAAGGCCAGCACGTGGGTGGCCAAGCCGGAGGAGCTGTCCCCCGTGGTGTGCGCCCGCCACGGCTGGCGCAACTTTGCCCTCAACGCCGTCCGCTGCGACGTCTGCGGCGCGGTGAACGCTTTCGGCCACTACGGCCTGCTCAACGACCCCTGGTTCGGCGGCGCCGTCAAGCGGTTCTCCAAGGAGCTGCGCAGCGGCCATGAGAGCCACTGCACCTTCCGAGGAGTCCAGGATCCGCGAGACTTCCACGTTCATCCCTGGCCGGAGGGGCCGGTCGCGCGCGAGGCATTCCGCGGGCGCGTGGGGGCGCTGATGCGGATCTGGGACCTTCCCGATCTGTGCGACACGGCATTGGAGATGATGAGGGCCGCCCCGGGAGGGGAGGGCCTGGAGAGGCTGGCGGAGGGCGTGCGGCTGGAGTACTTGGCGGGAGATGGGGGCAATGCTGGCGGGCAGGGGAAAGTGTGGGCGAGGAGGAGTCTGGCGGCGTGCGCGATGGCGCTGTTCGGGTGGGAGGTGCGGCTGGTGAACAGGAAGGGCAAGCGTGCGCTAGGCGACGCTTCGATGGCGGAGATCGAGGCCGCGGGCTACTCCCGGCGGTCGGAGGTGGCCGTTTGTTGCGAGATGTGTGGGGCCAGGGCGGGACTGTGGAGGTTCAGGAGCGGCTGCAGCGCGGGGGCGCCCAAGGCGCCCTTCCCCGTGGTGCAGCAGCTGGCGGCCAGCGTCGCTGCCGTGGTGGCAAGGCGGCGGCCGGCGGAGGGGGCGGGGCAGGGGGCATCGAAGGAGGGGTGCGCGGCGGCCAGGCTCACGGGCACGATCGCTGGCGGGGCCATGCAGGCGGCAGGGGGTGGGGTTGGGGCCTTTGCCACGCCCAGGAAGACGTCTGGGGCGGGAAGTTCGTCGAATGGAGGCGCTGGAGTCGGGGAATCGACACCGGCACCATTCGGCTCTGTTTTTGGGAAGGGCGGTGGTCATGGCAGGCCGGAGGCCACCCCCGCTGGCGTGGGCTCGGAAAACGCCTTTGGCTCGGCGCGGGCGTCAGCTGCTGTGTTTGGTCTTCACAGCTTCAAGTCTGGAGGCAAGAGAAAATTCGGCGATGCGATGAACACACTGTCAGAAACTGCTGCCAAAACTCCCCGGTTGCTGAGCGATGCAGCATCCGCGGCCAAGGATGTGGCACAGGCAGTTGATGCACCCCGAGCTAAGGCTACCATGCCTTATGCTTTTGGAAATGCAATCCTCAAAGCTCTGAACAGCAGTCCAGCAACCAGCGCAATATCCAAGACATCTGTAGGGCGTGATCAGGAAACCGGTAACGGACCAGGGGGCAAAGGGGAAGTTGCGAATGGCAACGAAAATGGCAGATTCGATGCAGGTTGCATCGCTCACACAGGGAGCGCTTCAAGGTCTAAGTTAAGCAGGGCTGGGGGCGCAGCTGCTTGTGAGTTGCCTGCTTTTCATCCATGCAAGGAACACAGGTATTGGTGTCCCTGGATAAGGCAGTACAGAAGCAGGATCGTCGAACATGAAATCTCTGGCTGGTGCCATCTTTTGGAGTTGCTTCAAACCCAGAAGGTGAACTCTTGTCTTCCCGCAGGCACTGAGATAGGGAGAAAGCCAGACAAGGCCCTGGTGGATGCTGAATGCAGGGGTTACATTTCAGGTGAAGCAGACCGAGGTAATGTCTGTAAGCGGAAGGACATGCTTGAAGTACAGGATGCATCCAACGACTTGGCAGGGCTGCAGGAACCTGTCCAGACAACACCACAAAACACAGTGCCTGGTGGTTCAGCTGTGAGCCGTGGCATGGCTAACATTGGAGGAAGGCGGGCTGACAGTGTGAGCAGAAGCAATGATGCCAAGACCTTGGCATTGCAGACCAGTGCAGCCGATTCAGCCCCTACCAAGGACGACAGGGGCATGCATACTGGCCTGTTTGCCATTGCCAGTGCAGGTACCACTATCAATCGCCATGAAGCACCTCCAGTGGAGAAAATTGACTTGAAGAGTTCAGAGCCAGCCGAAAATGGTGCAAACGGCCCAAAATCGAACCAATCTGTGTTTGGACTCAGGGAGGGAGAGATGCAGGATTTGCAGACATCCCCAGTGGCAGGCAATCTGGAGGAAGGGAAGGCCAAGGTGTGCATTGGAGATTCAGGCATCTCGAATGGTTCAAACAGAGAGCAGGATGCTGCTCCCGAGCCAGTGGAAGTAGAACTGCAGGAGACAGCAGAGATCCCAGCAACTGTCGTCGCTCCCAAGCCAGTGGAAGTAGAAGTGCTGGATACGGCAGAGATCCCACCACCTGTCAGTGCAAGTCCTGGGCATGAGGACCCAGCAGAGCAAATGCCAGGGGTGCCTGTTCAGGACTCCCCTCCTGCGCCCGAGTCTCCTGACGATGGGGGGCTCCCTGAACCTCCGTTTGGTTTTCAACAGGAAGCGGAAATGGACCCACATCGGGTTGTCCAACCACTTGTTGAGCCCGAGTTCATACCTGTCAACGACATAAGGGTGCACATTGCTGAGGACAGCGGGGAGACGCAAGGGGAGGGCGAAGAGTCTGAGTCGGAAGACAGCGTAGATGGATGGTCTGACGAGGACGTTTCCGAGGACAGGGTGCGAGAGAGTGCGTCATCGGCAGGGCACGACCTGGATCTGCACAGCATGGAAGGCCACCAGGCGCACGCTCAGATCCTCATGAATTTCGGCACCAGGATGATGCAGGCACAGCTGGAGCGGTTGCAGCAACCACTACGGGAGGAGCCAGAGATTGTGGACCTTGCGACGCCCAGTGATGAGGATGTCGACAACAATGGGCAGGCAGAGGGGGAACCGGACATGGAGGGCGAGGCCGAGCGGTGGCGGCAGGGGCATCATGGCGATCCTATGGGCAACGAGATTTATGGGGACGGGGGAAGGGGAGATGTTCGCGACTGGATCAATGGCGATGGGTTTGAGCTGGACGAGTCGTCTGGCGACGAAGAGGGTGAGGAGGGGAGTCAGGAAGACTACTACGGGGACGATGACAACTTCGAGCAGTGGGGGAACGGGCCGCTGGGGCGGATGGCCGAGCAGGCTCCTGGGCAGTTGGTCCAGGAACAGGTGGTCCAGGCGCAAGTGGGGCAGGGACAGGCAGACCATGTGTTTGAGGCCAGGGAGGAGGAGGCGGAGGACGAGGAGAGCAGTGTGGAAGAGGACGCCTCGTCCGAGGAGCTGAACCAGATGTTCCCGGACATGGGGAGACCCCAAGCCGGGAGCCAGGATGATGACAACGGTCGGGAACCGTAGCTTGGCTGCTCTTCCTGGGCACTTGCCTTATTTCGTTCTGTAGCCAGATTGATGGTTCGCATGCAGCTTGCTGGGAGTATGGACTGGAGGTCGTCGTTCCTGTCAAGACCATCTCACTCTGCAAGTGTGGAAGAACAGCATCGTATGGTTTTCTCCACCTGTTGTCTTGTGCCACATATGCCTGTCGTGGGACTGGAGGTGGTCAAATGTCACCATATCCCTGATGGGGACAGATAGTTACGTGATCAGAATCAAACGGGGGCAGCCGATCCATATGTTGGGTCTTGAGCTGGAGCGTTCCAGCACGACTCACTTGCGAACATGGGGAGGTCAGTACTGTGGGAGAGACTGAGGTTTGTGATGCCGTCCTTCCTCAAATAGCATAGCTGAATAGGACCTGCCAGATTCTCTGCCGGGGTGTGCGAGTGTATGTGTGTGTCCTTTTAGTCGTCATGGTGGGTTCCTCACAGGCGACCTGGTGTCGATTTTAGCCTTGACCTTGTTATGAAAGGGTGGGGAAGGCTATGTTACCACAGGCTGGAACCCACCAGCCTTCGTCGTCCACAAAGCCTTGTGGCCCACATGGTAACAACCTCTATAAATATTTCTTCACATGCAGAATGTTACAACCCCGCCGTCGCCCATCTACACACTGCATAACCCTATGGGCAGCCCAGTACGTGTTGCAATTCACCAGCAATGTGCTTTAAAATTGCGCCTGTGTCCTTCATTTTCGACTTTAAGTCCTTCGCCATGGTAGAATGCAGTTTGCCATCCCGGTGGAACGGTGCCTTGTCGATGCCCACATTTTTCTGAACAACATTGACTCGCTTGCGCAGTCCGTCGACGTCCACCCTGCACAGCTCGCGTGCCACTGTCCCATCGCCCCTGGACGGCAGGCTGTGTAGTATGTCAATGCACTCCGCCAACATCGCATACCGCGCCTCCAGATTCTGCATCAGCTGCCGCATACGCGCCCACTGCTCTTCCTGCCGCACACCCTTCTCGAGGAGCAGCTCAAACCTCTCCAAAAGATCCTCCACGGTCGAGCGCTGTTCCTCCAGCCGCTCCAAGTAGGGCTGCCTCTCTGGTTCGCCGTCGGCCTTGGGGTCCCCTGAGGGGCCCAGCCCACCAGCATCTGCTGTAGGGGAGCGGCCTTCCAGATCGATAGGATCGAGTTCGATGTCCACTTCCACTGGGAACAGGGCTGGCAGAACGGCATTGCCATTGACGCTCACCAACCTCATCCCCTCGTCCAGCCACAGCAGCAACGTGCTGTGCAGCCAAAACAGGCAGCCCAGCAGGGCAGCCCTGCCCAGGGGCTCATCATGTACCTTCATCACTGTGGGGAGGTCCAGGTCATCTTCCACGCCGCACATCCCATGCTCCTGGCCCAAGAGGCCCACACTGTCCAGCCATCCGATTTCAACAAAGTACACGGCGTCCTCACAGGACACTACGAACCTCCCGCCACAGGCCGGATCGCTGTACACGACAGCGCGCCTCCTGCATGAGCCTTGACCCAACAGCACGACGTCCACCAGCGTCATGGCCACTTGGGTGTCCTGCTTGATGCAGGGCACCAGCCCTGAGGGGGGCCGCTGGCCGCTCCAGAGGGGCTGCACCTCTTGAGTCAGAAGGTGAACGAATATGGTACCTGCTTCGGAGGCTGTGGTGATCACTGTCACCCCGTCCCGCTCTGAGACCCACAGGTTCAAAAACCGCATGCCACTCAGCACAGAGTCCCCGCCCTTGTTAATGGGCCCTTGAAGGGCGGGACAAGCTGTCCAAAATGGAGGTTTGGCCACCACGTAGCCAGGCCTTGTGCTTGGTTTGGACAGGCATTGGTGTTGGTGAGCTGAGTTGGAAGTTTCAGACGATGGCGGCCTCGATCCTGTGGTCGGTTCCTCCACTTCTGGGATCACCTAGAGAAAGGGGCACACATCTGTAAGCAGTGAAGCTGGATGCGGTGGCACCCCCAAAACCCCACAAGTATGCCCCTTCAACAACGAATCACAGAGGTGAGATATGCTGAATGGACCTGCGCACGCCCCAGAGCGTGCAATCGTTGACGCCGTCAGCACAAAGAAGGGATGAACAACATCGCATGTGCTGTCTCACACTCCAATACGATGGTGGGTACAAAAACAGTGGGGTGCAACTTCACATGGACAGCCGTGGAAGGAGGAAAGTAGCATCTCTGCCCCACTAAATTTCGGTGGGGTAGCTCGAAAGCTGCCCCTGCCAGCGGGTTCATGTTGCCAGTTGAAAACTACCACAGCGAGTCCCAGCTGACACCTCTTTGGACCCATTACACATGCAAAGGACACTGCCCGAGCACCTGCTGCAAGAACGACTCCGCCTCCCTCCCCAGTCCCCATTCCTCGACCGTCCTGCCCACCGCCGGACCCAGGCCGGCGGACAGCTTGGCGCCGATCGGCACCACGGGGCACAGCAGGAACACCTCCCCGTCGGACATCAGAAAGAACACCGCGAAGGAGCCCCACAGGCGCCTGGGCGCGAAGGCGAACGCCACGGCCCTCCGCGCCTCCCCCACCAGCCCCCACCCGCGCCGCGGGCCCGTGCTCAGCCGGAACGCCTGCTCCGGCTCCGACGGGTCCGCGGCGTCGAACACCAGGAACCTGCCGTCACGCGTCAGCACAGCCAGGTGCTCGTCCGACCGCGGGAACCACGAGGCCTGCACCACGTCCGCGCCCAGCCCCTCCAGCTCGCGGAAAGCGCATGCCGGCTCACGGGATACCCCGTCGGCTCCCTCATCCCCTACGCGCCCCGCTTGCCGCAGATCGAGCAGCCCAAGGCGGCAGGCGTCCGCCCCGCGGCCCAGCAGCGCCGCGATACGGCCGCAGTGGCCGGCGCGGACGGTTCCCACGCCGAAGGGCGGCGGCGGGGAGGGTCGGTAAACGTGCCAGGGGGCGGGCGGCTCGGCCGGGGGGCCCTCTGCGGGCTGGATGCCCCAGTTCAGCTGGCTGGGCTTCAGGCAGGCCACCAGGCCGGCGGCGGTGGCCGCGAAGGCGTCACCCCGCTCGTTCTGCGACACGTCCACCACGTCGTCCCAGAGAAACATAGAACGGGAGCCGTCCGACCGAAGCCTGCAAGCCTGCAGCCCTGGGGCGGCTCTGCCGTCGGCTGGGTGGGGCGGCCAGGCGTGCGGGTTGTGCCAGGTACTGGCGGGGTCCACGTCAGAGGTGTTTCTGGCAGCAACTGAAAATTTTCCTTGGGAAAGTGCCCGCACATATCTCCTTCGGGAGTTGGGGGTCGTCTTGGCGTCAGGTGTCGCGAGCGCGTGGGATCGGTGCCCGTCCTCCCCGCGCCCGCCCATGCATCGCGAGATGCCGCACCCTCTCGGGGCCCTCCGCCTCCCCGGCTGCGAAACGCGCCGGACGCCGGCGGCCATCCCGGACGTCGCGCTGGACGGGCCGCGGGCGATCATGGAACAGGTGAAGGCCAGTCGACGGGCGGCGGACGGCGACTGCGGAATCGCCTCGGCGATCTCCCGGGGCCGGAGCGCTGCAGAGGTGCTGGAAGGCGGCATAATCGCCGCGGCGTCGGCTGGGGACGGCGTTCCCTGGACGGCGACTTGTGCACGCAAGGGGCAAGGTTTGGACACGCTGCCCTGCGGAGGGGAACGTCACGGGACTGTCGGGCGCGCGACTGGCGAGTTCGATCTCGATAGGAGTGGTGGCGCTGGTGTCACCAAGGAATTAGCGCAACGGGCCGACAGGGCAGGAGCCCAGGCCCCGAGTTGGGCATCTCCACAAGTGTGCGTCGAGAGGCCTGTGTCCATGGGCGCCGATTCCGTGAATGGGCAGCGTGGAAGTGAGGGGGTTGTCGAGGGCCAGGGCAAAGCAGTTGCTTGCTGTCGTCCGCTGGAGGCGGGGCCCATTGAAGACGGCAAGGATGACGCCGCGCGTGCCACCGGAGTCCTTCCATCGCATCAGCAGCGAGCCAGCTCTGTGTCCCTTCAAACAGTCGGGGCGCGCGGTCGTGATTATTTTGCTGGCGTCTTTCCGGAAGATCGCACGCTGCCCGCCAGCGGGCATGCACAGAGCGGCAGCGGTCCGGATCAGCGCGTGGCGATGACGCTGTCCCGCAGGACCGCGGAGTTGAGAGAGCAGGTGCTCGCCGCGCAGCGAATGGCGCGTCGTGCGGAGTGCAAGGGCCAAATGCCTTTGAAACAAAAAGTGTCGCGCCCTGGTGGGAGGACGGCCGCTTGGGGTGTCCCTGCTCACGGTTCAGCAGGCGGGAAATCAATTATTTGGGAAGGTGGAAGTCACGGGAACAAACCCCGTCGTGGGGTGGCAGTGGCTGGAGAGAAGGTGGCTTTGGAGGGTTCAGGAAGCCCTGTGCATGAAACAGATAGTGCCAACTCAACTTCATTGGGAGATGGCCCTGGGAGACAAGTGCAAAATGCAACTGAGCAGGAGGATCAACCTCTTGCAGGTACGTTGGGGGATTGGGAAGAGCCATCCCCGGGAACAGGTACTCTTTCTGCCCAAGATCACTGTCCTTTTGGATCCAGTGTTAGAGAGCTTGAATGGCCAGCAGGGACTCGAAAAGGATACTTAGATCAGGCCATTGACGCATGTGTTGGTGGGAATTTACCAGACGATCCAGCCTTGGCACATATTGGGATGGATAGTATTGACAACACAGCAGCACAGTTTAGAGCACGTGATAGCACTCTTGCTGTCCCCGACTTTCCAGTTTTGCAACACAGCCCAGATCCTACCTGGCCTCGTTTAGAGGGTAATTTCGCCTGTCTTGCAAATCACTGTGTTTATCAAAGCAACAACAAACTCGAAATGAATCGCCAATCGTTTTGCACAAGTGGGGGAACATGTATTCCCCCCCATTCCCCCAAAATTGTGCATTGGTGCGTAGATGGGATTGTCCACTCTGAATGCAGCAGCTGCCACGATTCAAAGTCTGCTGGACACAGGGCCACAGAGTGTCTTTGGTCAGCCAGTGGCTCAGGCATGAATGCAGCAGGAAGTGAACCAGGGAATGAGGCTCACAGGACCAAGACCGGAGAAGACAAAGAAGTGGAGCAAGGACAAGAAGCCACTGGCATTGCACCTCGCAGCAGATTCTATCCTTCCGGCAACCAAGAACCTCGGTCTCTGCAGCAGTCAAATTTATGCCAGGACAGGTTGCAGCAAATGCTAAATGTTGAAGGAGTTCATCAGCAGCATGGTGGGGAGCACAGCATCCAGTACACATCAAACACAGGAAAGGGCACATCTTGGGTGCAAGTTCAGCAGCTGTGCCTACAAATGCAGCAGTCCGTTGCAGCAACATGTCAGACACTGTCAGTTAAGAGGTGCAAACCAGGTTCTTCATCTGCAGCAGGGTGCCACGGCTCTCCGCACACATCGGCAGTGGATTCAAGCAGCACAAGGCCTGAACGTTTGTGCGGGTCAGACATGCCTGCAAACCATGTTGATGGATGGCTACCTGACCAGCACAAGGCATCAAACGTGACTACCAATGGGCACATGGACGAGAGTGGCAAAGCAGATGTCTTTGCTGCACCAAGCGCTGAAATTGGTGCAACTGGTGCCCAGATTCCTGGGAATGCGGTGCATGCTGTGCGTCAGGCTCAGGGGACGACAGGAGGAGCAAAGCAGGGGTGTTGCGCGATGCATTCCGCACACATTTCCTCCCAAGTTGGGCAGCAGAACGTGGGCACTTCAGCAAGTGCAACATTGCAGGAGTGCGTTTGCTCAGTGTATGGGAAGCCTGCATGGAGGAAAGAATGGAGCCCGACACCCCGTTCCCCATGCTGCAGTACGCTGTGCTGCAGTTTTCGCAAACTGGCTTCTGACATTCCGAATACCAACCAATGTGCACCTCGTTTGGCAGCTCACACGCCTGCGTTTGGACACGCTTCATGCCCAGTCAGCTGCTGGCCAGGGCCACTGGACGTCGGAGAAGAAAACGCAACGACGCCAGCAGGGGTCGAACTATGCGGGGTGACGGGTCAGCATTGCCCATTGGCACCTGCATCAATGCAAGGACAGACACAATGTCTGATCGCCGATGACGGGAGACTATGCACGCTCCCAGGACAGATGCCATCACAGGACAAAGTCACGGAGGCTGGAAGGACTGTTCCTCGTGTCTACCTTGATCGTGTGGATCCCACATGCATGGAGTCATGTTTCCAGCATCCATGTCAAAAGGAGGCCATCCACTCAGGGTGTCCACCTGCATGCCCGATTCCTCGTTCCTCATGTGCTTCTGACCCACAGCAACGAAGCCAAGTAATTCACCAAATGACAGAGCAGCTATCTATAAGAGGCCAGGACTGCGATGCCATCATGAGCAAGTCATCTCCTGAGTCTCAACCGAACCATGCTCGCAGGCATGATGCATATATTAGCAATGGGCATGTTCCTGACGTGATAGCGGGTTGTGCCTTTCAAGCCTGCTGTGTTCCTTGCGATCCGCGAATAGCACACTTGACGGAAAGGTTAAGGATAGCCATGACCACAGCGATGGAGTCCTCCAGGAGAGGCCTTGTGCGAGGCCCACATGTGGGAGAATGGTGCTCTGCCACACAGAGAGATGGCGGGGCCATGAGGGAAGCGGAAGGGGCCAGTGGCAATGGCCATTTGAAGCGTGCGCACAGTGAGAAACTGTCGCGGTGCCTTCAGTCGTCCTATTTGAGACAATGACAGACACCATGGCGATGCTGCATGCCATTGCTGTCCCGCCGTTTAATACTGTCCTTGAGAATTATGCGGAGTGACTTTGGTGTGTTGAGCGAAAGCTGCTGAACTACGAATCAAAACCTCATCCAAGCCTTTGTTTTGCCGCTGTGTACTCTAGCTTCGATGCCGTCAGGTGTCACAGATGTGCATCAGTACAAAGCATTTTTTGAACAGATGTCTTGCGAAATCATCCAGAACTGGAAGGAAACTGCACACCAAAGAACGAAGGAATGCTCTTCGGTTCAGTATCGAAAGACGCGACAAGGTCGTCAGTCCTCAGAACTTCCGGGAAGGACTGTACTCGTGACAACTGAATTGAATACGCTCTGCAATGCATTGTACAATGACCGGCTGGGTCGTCCCAAATGGTCCTGCCGCCATGGCGCATGCGGTTCTACTCTCGGAGGCCGCCAGTTCGTGGGGGACACGCTCGGAAGTTCGAAGATTCTGCAGAAAATGAATGCTGACGAGCAGACGGCCGACGAACCGGTGCTGGTGCGTTGTGCGGCGCACCCAGTCGCAGGACACCCAGGATGAAAAATGAACAAGAGGCACGGAATGACCAAGGCATCAGGCCGCGATGCCTCCCTTGAAGGGACGGGAAGGGAGTCCCTTCCTTGCCACTCCTTATTCTGGCAACCTTTGGCGTGGTAGTTGTTGTGGGGGTGGGATGGGGGCTCATGCAAATAAAGGGTCCCGCATGGTTGCTGATTTTGTGCTGGGTTTGACAAGACGGGAGCTCATTTTTCGGAGGAACAGCAGCAGAAGCTGCTGGAAACCCGAAAAGGACCGCTGGGCAATGCGCCTGCTGACAAGAAATGGTTTGAGGGGACCGCCAGCGGACTGTGTGTAGCGTATTTGGGAATAACTCTGAGATAATACATCGATGTGGAAACTGTTCGATATTGAATTCACACTATTGCCTGGAACACGGGATATTGTTGCCATTTCTGCTTGCCAAGAAACTGCTTGGTTTTGGATAGTATTTACCCCTCTTGCCAAGGTACCATCGAGGAGGCGAAGCTCACGGAATGGCCCCCATTAGTCAAGGTCATCCACCTACCTATAGTGTACCAGACCAAGGAAGTAAGAATGCTACTATGCTTTCAGTTCAGGGGCAATGGACTTCACGCGCCGCGATTCTTGATGAAAAATGGTTCAGATTGCTTGTGAGCTACCAAGAAGCCCGGAGGGATGTGTAGGCATTGACAATGGTGCTCCATTGCTCCATTTTCGCACATCTGTTGTATGTGTTGCCAGATAAGAAAAGTCTTGGGTGTGGACAGCAAATATCCTTTTTTACTTTGTCAGAATTGGTCTACTGTTCAATTGGTAAGAACTGTTGTTCTGTTGTTGCGCTAGCTGTGCCCTTGTTCCACTGCCATCCCCAGTACACCATGTCCACCAATGAGTGAATGGCATGTCACGATGAACAACAACGGTACCATTGGTTAGCTTCACGCATTCCAGGCGGGGTCTGCTACGAATCAAACATCGTGGCCCAGTCCTGTGCACTCGCTAGCATCCTGGAAGCCTTTAATCTCTTCACGTGTGTAGAGCTGCTGCACACCACGCGCTTCAGTGCGAGCAGACCTTTAGAAGAAACGTGGCTGCTTCAGGCATTGCAGTGCTCCTCCTATCTTTACAGTATTCGTCCATCCCAGCCAGCCACGTCAGCAGGAGTGCAAGACAGAGATATTTTATCAGACAGATAAAAGGGCACCAATTGCGCTCTTTGACGTTCCTAAACGTCCAGTGTTCAATCACAACTCTTACATCCAGCTGGCTATTTCAGAGCAATGCGCGGCTGCTCCGGACGCAATAGTTGTTTGTGTGGGCAGGCCCTAATTCAGACGTTACTTGTGACTGCCATTGCTGGTGGCACCTCACTGCTTTTGCGGGCTTGGACGCCCTGCTTGCAGAGCTGCCACAAACCTACTATTCTGCCATCTCTTAGGGTGTCTCAACAGCGCAATACCTTCTGTTCTATCTGCGGGAATGTTGTAGCCAAGGGCAATGAGCACCTTGCATGTTTGGGCCACGGCTGTTTCGTTTGCCCTTTCTTTGCTGCTGTCAGAGGGAGGAATGAGGACGGTGTCTCTACCTTCTGTGCCAGTTACCGTTACAAGCCCATGGCGACTCGCCGCTGCACACAATTATGGCGATTCATTGCAGTAGGGTATATGAATCAAATATTCATATCTTAAAAGTCACAGCTACAGGGTGTAGTTCCCTTGTCACTCACATACTGCTGTAGTATGTATGAACAATCCAAACGAGCACAATCTTGACGGGAAGTTTCCGCAACATCAAACTGCAATTGTCACAATAGGGTTCCCATTTCATATGGCTCCTCGACTTGCACTGCATTAGGCCTCCACGGAATTGGTGAATAACGCCATGATCCATATGGAACCGGGGCATGTACCCCAGCTGGACGCCAACATAGCGCATTCGACCCTGGCTTTCAGCAAAGGGAGCTGGAGTCATCTGCCATTTACAACGATTTAATGTGCGGCTTGAAACGTGGAAATACCGTGCGACCATGGGTCACCACAACAACTGCTGTACAATCCCGTGTCACCGCAGCATAGCGGCGTCTATGCGTCCTACACTATGCAAACACGCCCTCCACGACATCCTGCGGGGTCAGCACGACACTTCCACCCAAGATGTACGTCATGCCCGGCTCTCCACTCCTGTCGATTTCATTCAACATGTCCCTGATTTCAAGTATGCTCAAGCCTCCCACGACAAACAAGATGACCGTCTGGTGGTCGCTCGGCTTCTGCGAGCTCTGAAACCCGAGGCGGCCCAGGCCCATGTTCAGGAGCCCCTTTAGAAGCGATGGCGTGTGGGTCAAATCGCTCAGGGCTTCCTGGTCTATTATCTTGGAAAGCATGCGGTGGGCAAGGGAAGCAAAGGAACCTGACGTCGCGCCAGACTCGGACATTGGGTCCGAGAGCTGCCTGAACTCCCGCAGATTGGTCCTTGCGGCGCCAACCTGCTTCAGCCTGTCAAAACGGTCCGCGAGGAAGTCTCTGAGCTCCAGCTTGAGGGCTGCCGACTCGTACCCGTAGGCCTCGGGGTCTCCAGACTTTTTGTCTCGCACCTGAGGGACCAAAGCACCGCCTCTTGTGGAGAAATTGATGCCGGAACCACAGAAAACGGCTCAGGTCGCCTACTCACGCAAAAATTTTGTGATCTGGGCCGTGCAAAGCAGCAAGGTGCACACTTCCCTGACTTCACTGGCATCATTCCTCATGGCCAGACACGAATCGCTACAGGGGACTAGCAAACAAACAATGGTGTCAAGAGTCGACAGTTGGGCATGGCGCAAGTCGCAGAGAGCTGCAAATGCGCCGGATCACAGATGTCACGCCAGGCGCATGTCACAGCTGCGCTGCATGCAGTGTGTCGATAAAATGCTGCAAAAACCCACTTGCTACACTCTGTATTTCATGCCAAGACATCCCCATGTCACAGCTGACATTGTCATCTTCGCTGCTTTCAGCTTCTCACCTCCCGTATACTTGCACAGAGGTCTGCCATCCAGGAAGGAATGGGGGCGCTGCCGTTGACTAGTGCATCAGTGATGGCATCCATGATCTGCTGTTCCTCCCCGCTGAACAGTGGCAGCTCCCCCATGCCTTCAAGGCCAAGTGAGTATGCCAGCACAAGGAGCTGCATGACGTCGTCCAGATTCAGGACAGCCTGCCGCGAATAGGTGGGCAACAGGGATTAGAATCCTGTGCAAACAGAGCACGAGTCGCTGCACACGTCCCCTCCACCAGACGGCAAGCCACTCTAGCTTTTCGTGGTCTTTGTCACAACCAAGAATCAAAGCGACTTACAAAAACCAACAACAGTTGCCATTGAGATTGCATTCATAATGTTTCACATAACCTAAAAGCAATTCTGACATATTTCTGAGGCAAGATAGACTTCTGTGGCACGGGCAAAAGCCCTTGATGCACCAGGGCACTGGGCTGCCTTCTAGCACAATGCATGATGCCACACTGCAGGCTCATTGGCATTCTGGTGCTGGATAGTATGGCACAGCAAGTTACAAATCTGCTGTGGCATGAATGACCACAGAAGATGCACTATGTGGAGGAAAGGGAAGCATGCATCACCATTTTCCCACTTGATATTAAAGGTGCCCACCTGGTCTTTGGTTGTGTTCCGTATGAGGTCCACAAACATGGCAACAATCTCTTCAGGCGTTGAAGCAAGCATGATCTGGTTCTCGTTGCTTGACATCATGTCCCATTTCTGGGCATGTTCAGGTGACAGTGTCTGAGCAGCTGCAAATCCGTAACTGACTGCCAGGTGATGCTTCATACCGCACTCTGCAAGGGAAATGTGCCAAATGTCAAACGTGCCTTGCAACAAAAGCAAGATCAACCAACACAGCCATACAGCTATGTAGGAACTAACTCGACGGAAAGCTTGACAGACTCGACAGAAAACTCGACAGAAAGCACAGCAGTCATTGTGAGAATGACACAGAAGTGCAGGAATGCACTGTGGAGCATGTCTCATACAGCCAACCACAAATCCTACTTCAAAGTCGCTTGCCAGCCTTTGTCAAGTAATGAAACAAGTGTTCCATTTTGTCAGTTTGGAAGCCTGCATACCATGCATCGTCTTTGCAGTGGTGGCATCCCATCGCAACCAACTAGCCTCAAGACAATATAGCATGTCAAACACAGCCCATCTGGGAGCTTCCCCTACATGATAGCTCCTTCCACAGTGGGGAACCAATTCCACAAGTGGCCCACAAGGACACCCTGCCACATACTTGAAAATGGCTGAAAGACCAGACAGAATCAGACCTGCCTGCTGTGCCAGATTTTGTGCCAATGCCTGTAGTTCTGCTTGCTGAACTGGTCCAGCCCTTGAGCGCACGGGCGTGTCGATGGACTCCTTCCTGTGTGCTTCCCTGAGCCACTTGCGCACAAGCAGGGCACCTTCCCTTGATCTCCTGGGCAACAGGTGCCCAAAGTAGGCTTGCGACTGGCTGTCAGACAGTTCAAGGGAGCCGCCGAGTGGCACTGATGGATCAATGATGCCATTAGATGGATACAGAGGCTGGAGCGGTATGCGCATATCTGTGGACCTGGAACAGGTGAGATGGAGGCACACTTTGAGACCAATGTGGTATCTCTAAGCTGCAAATCTGCTTCACATAAAGCAACAGCCAACAGAAACAAGAGAAGATACTCAAGTCCACACCTCATTCGAATTGTCTACAGCCAACCCTCTTCAAATCAGGGTGAAGTACCAATTTATGGCCCACCACTCAATGACATTAGTTGGTTCTTCTCCACAATATGTGCCCATGACATTCCCAGCTGTACTGATTGTCACTGCAGTGGCCACTTCAGCAGTCTGCTGACCTGCCACTATGTCACGATTTCAGTGTCTAGCTCTACTGTCATTGCATACGAAAAGGCTCCAACCTTAGTCCAGTTGGTTTGTGCTTGGAGGACGGATCGCGTTGGTTTGGTCCTTCTGCTCTCCTGAGGGCCGCCACCATGCGATCCATGAGGTTGTCAGTGTGCCTGGTGGGTGCTATCAGGTCCATTCTTCGATCAATCAGCACAAGAGAAGCTTCCTCTTGTGGTACAGTGCCATCAACTGCAGGGCGCACCCCCAATCTGGCAATCTCCTGTCCTGGAGCACATTGGAAGTCTGTTGCACACAGTAGAATGGGACAAAACTCCCACCAGGGTGCACAGCACCCTGGTCACCATTGAGATTAATATTGCTGCATGCTGCTGCTGCAGTGCATGAATAACGCACCATAACAAACCCATGTGACTGCAAAGATAGCAACAGGCTTTGGAGTCATCATCAGTGCTTCGAAATCCATTTTGGCCAGACATATTCAGGCAAAATCTGGACACCTCCCTGTATCTTATCCATGCAAACATCTCACATGCTGCTATCCCATTTGTGTGGATAGCCATTTATGACAGCTAATGACATCGGCCATTTATGACCGGCCATTTATGACACCGGCCATTTATGACAGCCATGTGACAGCTAATGATGGCATCACTGTGGAAACGAAGCCCTTTGCATGATATACATCAACGTGAAGCATCGCACAATCTGGGATAAGCGTAGCTGAAAACAACTGCCAACACTGAAAGTGCCCTTGTCTGTGTGTCCAAACCCCAAATGATCTGCAGATAGATTGTCAGCAGTTGGATGGATCTGCTCAGGTCCAGAGAACAAGCAGGTTGACTGGGAAAGGGACACGACACAGAGGAACACACCATCGCTGCCTCTCAAATCGCCAGAACATTGCAACACAATCGGAAAACTGCACCATGCGGAAATTTCCTGCAGGGACATCGGCTTGATGAACTGGCAGCCTTGAGTTTGTGCTTCCAATGGTGATGCATCTGCTCTCACTCCTTTGTAAACACCCAACAAGCAACCAGTGCTGTCACATGACAAGGAAGTATCACAAATCCTTTACTCAACGAAAGCAAGTCAGCACCGCAAATAACTAATCACAAGTTGACAGTTGTTGTGCAGAGAATGTAGGAATTTGCTACTTCAACAACACACTTACCGATTCTCTGTGAAAATGGCCCCAAAGTATATGTGTCGAACTTCACACCAAGTTGACTGGCCACCCCAGAAAGGGTATGACCAATTAATGAAACAGCATTTGCCGTATCGCCCAGGTTTATGGCATCGCCAGCTTGATTTGATTTTTCATCGTAGTCCCCAAAGCCAGCAGGGATCCCTCCACTCCTGTTAGAAAGAACTGCAAACTTCAGCAATCAAGCAAAACAAGGCGATACAGCCTGTGGTTCTGGTGCACAAGGAATGCCAATTAGCTGGCAATGGCCACTTGCAGCTAGAGCACTGTAAGTATCTGCACTTCTCAAGCACCGCATCATCTTTCTCAAGGCACTAGGCTGAAAACTCACACAAGGCTGTCTGTGGGCCTACTTACACTGAGTTCCTTGATGCTGTGGGGGTATGGTTTTTGCCAATTATTGTGAGGTCACTGTAGACTGCTAGCAAAGGGGCGCTGTTTGACTATCTGAGTTCACCAGAGACACATGACAAGACCAGTGTGTTGATTTCACGTTGCCTGCAAGGACGTTCATTTATCCACTCCAACGAACAGTCGGAGGAGTCAATAAGCAATGCAGTGCTTCGTTACCTCGTCTGAACAGCAGCACATGTCGATGGGAGAACAAAAGTTCTCCCTGTCACAGCACACAGCTGGAACGGGAAATATCTGACAGATGCCTCCTGGCCACTGCGCTGATAGAGCTCCTGCTGCCTTGCATCAATCATGGCCTCCCTCGCCTCATCTTTGTCATCCAAGCCCTGGTTCCGCCAATCGGCTTCTTTTTGCAGCATCTGCTCAAAATCTGCATATGCGTTGCTGCCAATCACAGCACCAGAGAGGTTTGGGTGGGCATCCACGGAATATGAGCAGAACACTGTCACGCCTGTGGCTGATGGGTGCGCCTGTATGGCATTTGGTCCATTTTCAGCAACTGTGCGTGGTCTACTTCAAGGAATTTTGAAGGCAGGTCGGTTGCCTCTGCAGCAGGTCTCACCTTGACTGCCTTCAGAATTTGTTCCTGGGCCGTCGTCAACAGTTGCGTGATAAATATCACAACAGGGTATGCCTGACCAATCAAGAGTGGGAGTGCGGCATCTTGGGAGCAAGCAGTCTTCAGCTCGCACACGTTGGAGGCACCCAGATCTGCACCAAAGCCAAATTGCTGTGTAACAAATTCCACTGACCAACATGGACTGTCACTTTGTGGCGAAATGAAAATTGTGACCCAGCCAACAAGGGACATGGACGGGGGGTGGCGGTGGTGGCAAGGGGAGCGGCGAGGAGGTGAAATGGAGTGTTTGGCAAAAGACAGCATCAACCAAAAAATTGCCGTGGGGATCCACGTCCTCCGTCAACAGATGTTCCCTTCATTCGTTCAATACAGACACGGAGCTCGAAATTTCACTTGCGACAGGTGCTCCAATCGTGTGGACCAACAGCAAGTAAACCATCAGCAATGCCCACAGATCCACCTCGCAGAGTCTTGCGCGAAGGCCAGACACCGCCAGCGCTCTCACCAAAGAAGAATCTCGCCCCAAGGCTGTGGGCGGCAGTCTCCCCCGCTCCCGTGTCCAAATAAACCAGCGCCCCCGCCAGTCGGCCGCGTATCGTCTGGAAAGAGCGCCGGGCGACTTCGTGTAAGTCCATCCCGCTCGACCCAACCGCGAGCAGGTGGGTCAGAGAACTGGTGGGGCATGCCGCAGTACTTTGTGGGGCTTTCTCGGACTACAATTCTGTAGACCCCCTGGTGGAAGAGTTGGAGTGCCGGAGTAGTTTGTAGGCCTCCTGTGGACTACAATCATGTAGACCGGCTGATGCAAGGGTACAGGGCTGTACATGTGTCTTACAGCAGGACGAGGGCAAACTCGGCGGCTGTTCCCTCAGTCGGGGGGGTGACGACTCAATGGTGTGCCCCGCGGCGCTGGAGAGCCCCCCGGCGGGCGCGCGGTGTTTCTTGCCGCCAGCGGCGGGGTCCCATCAGGGCCTCAGGCACGGGCGGGCATCCCGACGGGATGTGGCCTGCCAAATGCGGCTTCCCGGCCTTCTGTCGTCGCCGACGCCGATCATCGAGGCCCAGGAGGTGCGCACTCGAACTTTGGAGCACCGCTGATCGCGGGTGTGCAACGCGCCCCGCTGATTTCCTTGGGATGGCCTGCGCATGCGCACTGCAGCTTGTGTTTTTGGTAAGTGCTGCATTGACTGCGAGTGTCGAAATGAGGGGATGCTCCAGGCGATGTCGGCTGCCTGTCGCCTGTTTGATGCTGTCACGTTAGAAGAAGGACATATGCCACACAAATGTCCCCCCAAGCAAGTAGTGTTGCGCGAGCCCTGCCCGCACGAGAAGAGATGGTGCGTGCCGAGTGCAAAAGCCTGTGTTGCCTGGCATTCAGGCATTCGAGAACTTGCACGCCCTCCTGCCGCCCTTTGTGAGGGAGAATTTCGCGTCCTTTTACTCCAGCGAGATGGGAGGCATCGTTCTGGAACCAGCTGCGATGGTGGTCCCCATTGAGGACAGGATGGTCATGCGTGGCCACGGCGTCTACGACCAGTGCCTGCTGGTGAACGGGCACCTGTATCAGCTGGATGAGCATCTGCAGAGGCTGTACGCATCCTCCAGGAAGGCTGGCCTGGAGGCCAGTGTGTCGTTCGGTGAGCTGAGGAAGATCATTCTGCACACAACGGCGGCCAGCAGGAAGCTGAATGGTGGGACTTGCTGACCAGAGTAAGCGCATCAAAACTCGTTTGCAGTGCTTGGCCGTGCTTGCTTTTCCAATAGTGCCTCCCTGGGCGACATGCAGAGAATATCTGGGCGACATGCAGAGGATATCTGAAAGTGGGTGTTGAAACTTGATGCAAACAACGAAGGATGGGATGCACATGCTTGTGTTTATCAATGCCAGGCAATAGTCAGCTATTGTGATGTTTGTGCTATTTTGCCTTCATAGCCTCTTGCCCAGTATATTGCTCCCCGCACCATGTCATGCCCCCAAGAAGCAACAACCTGAAAGGATGAACAGGATTGGGGACAGAAACTTCTGTCCCAACAATGTAAGTGGTCCTTAGACTTTGCTGCATAAATTGCCTTTTTTTGAACACGTTTACCAGAAAGTAACGCATTATTGCACTTTGCTTGCAAGGCAATATAGTGGCACACATGGATGCGATTGCTGGTGGTGCATTGAGGATTCTGTCCATGCACCAGCCCCTGTTTTGATCCAATGCCAAGCTTGCTTTGATTCCTAACCTTGTGCTGACAAGTGTGTTCATTCTGTGACTGCAGGCATTGTCCGTTTTTGGCTGACAGGGGGCAGGGGCACACTTGGGATCTCCCCAAAGGAGGGCAAAGGCACCTCATTTTATGTGTTAGTCTCAAGTGAGGACAAATTCCGCGACATACAGAAGGGTGTGCGTGTCAAAACAAGTCCGGTTCCTTCTCCGCCCCCTTACTTTCTGACAACCTTGACAAATGGCTTCCTGCCACACGTGGTAGCCACCATGGAGGCTGAGTCTGAAGACTGCGAAGTGGTAAGCCCATAATCCTGTGCGGGAACAAATCGCTTTCAGTGTTGAATAAGATCTCGAGATTTTGTTGGTGGCACAGACAGAATACATGCCATGTTCAAGTGCAGCAGTGCAAGTCTGTGCAAGTAGCGTTGAACACATTGCAGGGTAGTATTCCCTTGCATCTGTGGAGCCAAAGGAAACATGTGAATGTTTAAATTCACATCCACCTTGTATGTTGTCTTTTTTCGATAGGACTTTTGCTGGCTGGTGAAGAAGACACCAGGCATGTGTTGGTCAAGGCATGACCACATCAGTGTACAGCTACTCACATGGCTGTTGTTTTTTGCGGGGTATTGGTCCTGGAAATTAGTCAGTCTGCAGTTGCTGTTATGGTTTGCTCAAGGTTGCTATTCCTGTAGTCCACAGACTTGTGCTCTTGCACTGCTGTTCAGGGCATTCTTGTGGACGAAGATGGGCAAGTGTTGGGGGCACCGGCTGCAAACATTGCAATGGTGACTGTGGACAACGATCTCGTGGTGCCCCCTCACGAAGATACTGTTAGAGGGATCACAATGGAACGAATATTGACTCTTCTGGAAAAGGTACCAGTGCAACTGGGGGGAAAGTTTTGGACACGTTTTGAAGACTGCTGGTGCAGGTGCAGTCTGGAGCAACGTATTTGCAGCAAAAGATTGGCGCCTTTGGTTATGGTACTGCCAGGGGGTGTAAATGATGACAGTCAATTGTTAACTATCTTTCGGATATGGGCACAGTGATTATTCTTCGTTCTCTAATTCCCCCACTGGGCAACTGATTGTTGTCAGGCTGCTTCGATCATTTCGTTGTGTTCGTTTGTAGCCCTCTCGCACTGCTCAGTGCATAATGTTGTTCTCTGGTATCTGCTTTCGTCTCCTCTAATTTGACAAACTGAATGGCAAGGCATCGAGCTTCTCTTTTCCAACACCCAATGTCCCACAGGCTCCAGAAGTAGTGAATCAAGTGCATCGCCATCTTTCTCATGATTTTCCTGATTATACGCTCGATGTCTCTGATCGTTTCATCTTGTACAATGTTGATTATGTTCCTTGCTGGTTGGTGTTGCTCCTGACAGCTTCGGTGACCCTGAGATTGCACTCTGCATGCTGCAATGCAACGCACCCGTTTGAATTGGTACACTACCCAGGCACGACTGTGTTCATGTGTGTCGCATGCAGACTGACGACCCAAATTTGACTGTGAGCACGGTGGTGAGGCGGCACTTCACTCCTCAGGAGGCGAAGACAGCCCTTGAGGTGTTTCTAACGACTACAGGTGTCCCTGTGATGGCTGTGACTGAATGGGACGGCGAGATTATTGCAGAAGGAAAGCCTGGGATCAACACCCTTGGCTTCAATGCGCTCATCAACAACGATGAGGATGACGTTGAGGGCTCCAGCGTGCATGCAGAGGTGCCATATGGGTACCTCACAGGAATGGAGGAAGAGGAGGAAGATGAACTTGCCCTTCGCCTGGACTAAAGCAAGCATGTGCTGGTTCTCTCCATATCGACTGAAATAACAGGGCGTTGGACAAGTTTGTAGCAGGCAACGCAGGGAGCGATCATAAACTGTGTACAAAAGACACGCTGTTGTAATCTACACCTGTAAATGCGGATATCATGGCAGACCTGCAGGAAAGGTGGAAATTAGGAAATGGGCGCTCGACATCACGTGTCGGCTCAATACCAAACTGGCAAGTGGGCCAAGATACCATCACTTGGTGGCTTGCGTCTGTATGTGTTTCACGGCCAAATTTAAGCTACTTGTCACAACATGGATAGCTAAGAGCGCAAACCCACGCTTAGCCTCCATTTAGAGCCGGCATAAATTTCTTGGTGTTAGTCTGCAGAAGAGCTTTTGTCATTCACTGTGGCCGATCCAGCGAACAGGCATGGGGAGCTGGTGAATGGGGTTGCGGTCCTAAACTCTTCTTTCCTATCCCACGCCCACAACGCCTCCCTTGTATCGAGTGAGGACAGTATGCTCTGGAGACATTCCGAAGAATGTCAGAACATAAACAACATCAAAGGACCTCGACACTCTTTATGTTGTTGCCTGGGGCGCCTTGGGCTCCTCAAGACTGCAGCTGCGATTCCTGGAAAGCGGTTTTTGGAACACCCCGACATCTTCGTGGCGAACATCAGGACCCATCCCTGCAGGTACTCCATCCCATACACATCCACTTCACGAGCACGGGAACCGCTCCCCATGATTGCCATGGGACATGAAGCTGGAATTGCTGGCAAAGCACGCCAAATGGAGCGCCACGAGTCAGAGAAGCGCTATCATTGACGGCAATGGAATGGACCAAAGCCCACGGGAGATTAACCGAACAGCGGCATACTTGAGTTTGAATTTGTCTCAAAAGAAGTGGGGCCGTTGCACCTTGCAGGCAATAAGATGCATGTTTGCACCCAAAACCGTCTCTCATCAGGTCATTTTATCCGTTCGCAAGCTGCCTGCAACACGTACAGACGGTAGTCAAAGAAATGAGAAGAAGTTCAAACCTGACGCATGCCTACGCCCATGACAGTGAAACTTCGTTTGCACATCCCAATGTCGTGCACCCTGTACGATTCTGGGATGTGCATCGCGCTTCTGCTGCTCTAATGAAGTTGGGATACACGGGCAGGGGAAGGCCTGTGGGGGGCGGCTGGGGGCCGAGCCGCCAATACAACACCTAGAGCAAACTAAGATGCCTCTCGCATTTGCAGAGGATCGATCGTAATCACGATGATTCTGGAACGTCACCACCCTTGGCGCGACTTCCCCGACATTTGTATCTATCTAATATCCTTTCAGGCATGCACAATAGACGCATGATACTTTCGATATTACCCATTCATGCCCCTCTCTATCATTTTGGTGATCTGACTGCACAGAGAGGACGGACAAGGTGAGTCAGGGGGATGAAGATCCAAACTGGCTGCCATGTTCTGGAGGTCGAGAGATCTAACATCTCCAAAAATTGGCGGGGAGGGCCTGGCATGAAGCCACTCGCGATTGCGCCCTGTTGAACGGTATTAATGTTGGGACACCCTATTATACTGCTCCCCGTGCGCCAGACGGCTGTGCAGTTTGGGCACCGAAAGCTCCTGGATATCAAGTTGCGCCTCTCGCCCAAAATTCTTCGAAATCCCCCCCTCCCCAAAGCACGGATTGTATCCATCTGAACGTTGTTAGATGGCCGCAAGACATGTGTCCTCAGACATGATCTTAGGACCCAATTGCTGCATATCCCACGCTGTTGGTACCTTTCTCTAGGATGCTAGCGATGCTGCCAATCCATGCTCCCTATATCCTCAGGGCTTTGCGGAGGGCTTCCAGCCTTAACACTGTTGTATCTTGTCGTCTGTCAACGTCAAAAGATGCCGACCAAACCTTGGAGTTGAGGGCGAACTTTCTCTGCCCAGCTTTCTCTCAATAGTCCCCCACAGGTTTGCACCCAGCGTAGGTTCCGGGGCCACCCGTGCAGTGTCAATGGGCGAAACGCAGTTGCCATCCAGGATGCTCGTGGGAAGGGTTCTGTGTCGCTTCTTGGACTATTGCGCCAATCGACGAAACCGAATCAGTCATCCAGAGTCCTCGCAAAAACATGCTCAATCACGGTGCCTTCAATGTGATGCCTCAACTCGACACGTCCCATTCCCATTGTTCAATCAACCCAAAGTAGAATCTCTAAGCTACCACATCATATGCGGCATATATATGCCTCATATTGTGCGGTACCCTGCAACTTCTACTTAATGGCATATTTTCTGCCAAAGATTGAGTATGACCCCATTCACATAAAAGCAGTCCTGAATCCGTCCCCCTGACCACTCCAGGTCCCACTTGATTCTGCAAGCAGCGCATATCAACAACTCCACGTGCAGAAACGAACAGAGAAGTTCCCATTGGCACCTGACCACACACCCTCGACTGCGCCATTGCCGCACACACAAGGACCGAAATTCGTATGCCTGCACCCTGGCCCGAGTAACGCTGCGGTGTCGTGCGCACCCAAAGATCATACAGGTTGTAACGCCTGTCCACAGCCGCATCTATTGATGGAAGAAAGACTGAAGATGAAATAGGAGGAAATGCATGTCCTCTTCTTTCCGCTGTAAAATGTGATCTGGCATCATTGCAAGCGACAGGTGTACGATCCAAGTCTGCCCTCCCTGGCGACACGAGTCCTGTGAAAGGACAGATAGGCGGACCACTCCGTTCAATTTAAGTTCCCCTTGTTCATCGTGAAGGCGCCTCAAGGACAAGAGTCGCCCGTTTGTGGGCGGACCCCTAGTTTGGTGCAGGTTTACAATTGGGTCATCCTCATTTCTCGAAGGCATCACCCGAAAATGGCACACGGGCATTCAATTTCGGTGACGTTTCGTCGCAGTCTTGTGCAAGCTGGGCGCTGGCCTTTTGCAGTGGTCGAGCGGCGGCGCGCTTGCAAATCAGCAGGTGAGGTTGCGGGTTTATCCCAACCGAGGAACCTGCCCTTGCGCTGTTCGCTTCCAAGAAGGACGCGCGGACTGGGACCCAGGTTTGTGTGCTGGCGCTGAAAGCGCAGGCTGCTCTCCTCTCCGCATTTTCAGTTCCATGCGTCTCCGGCAGTGTGGACGGAGAAAGAGATCTCGCACAGCCAATGAGCGCCACTGTGCTGCGCAGGAGCTGTGCGTCGAGCCAGACCACCCACTTGTGGCGACATGTCTGATCAGTAAGTGCAGGCGTCGATGATTTCTACCGCACCGCTCTGATCCAAGATTGTGACGCGTCTGGCGATCTCTTCCAACGCGCAGCCGGCATTTGCTCGCTGCGTGAAAGGCTGGCCTGATGGAGGGCGCCCTGCACGCGCATGTTGCGCCTTTCGCCGAGCCGCTACTGGGGTCGGGATCTCGCGTTTGGCCTTGGCGGCGACGGTCCCTCAACTACTTCCGCTGGGTGGCTTGTGCACAGACAGCGCACCGCAGAATCTCAGTCCGTCATCGCCGCCACACGGACGCCAGGGCTTCGTTGCGCCCCTCTCCGCCTCTCCCCGCGGACTCCTGCACCTTTTATCCACAGTGGGGAAAAACCATCGCACAGTTATTCCCGAATTGTGTTGCCATGGCAATGGGGCAATTCTCGGCTGCCAGGCCCGTAAAGCTGGTCTGTGGCGCCACGCTTGCGTCAGGGATGAGGCCGGAGGGCCTTCCGAGGCGCCCGCCCCGGCCCCAGCGGCCGATGAGCCGATGGACATCAACAAGGCGGTGTGGGGCGTCCTGAAGACGTCGCTCGTGCACGACGGCCTGGCCAGGGGCCTGCGGGAGGCCTGCCGGGCGCTGGAGAACGGCGAGGCGCTGATGTGCATCCTGGCGGAGGACTGCAACCAGCCGGACTACAAGAAGCTCATCGAGGCCCTGTGCACTGAGAAAGCCGTCAACCTGATATCCGTGCCGACCAACAAGCAACTGGGCGAATGGGCGGGGGTGAGCTGGCCTTGGCGATGGGATATTGGAATGCTTGGTGGAGGGTATCCATGCGGTGCTGCAGTCTTTATGCTGAAGCCGTGGTCTCTTCAGTGTTTGGTATACCCTGAACCACAAACCCATCCTGCTGAGGATGAGAGTCTGCAATTTCAGCAGAAACAAGCTCGCGGCATTATTTGATGGTCTTGGTGGAGTGGGGCCTTGCACATGGGATGGTGAACATTGGGGAAACAGTCAGAATGCCATTGCCAGGTTTCTGCTGATTGGTGGCTTGGTTGCTGAAGTTGCAAAAGTTGGCCCATTGCTGAACTGCCACTCTTGAAATATGTACAGCCGAATAAATGCTGCTCTCGAATCACTGCTCTGGGATTTTGGAACGTGTGTTGGGAAATCTCCCCTTTTCGCTGCTACTGACTTCTCTGGTGCTGCCAACAGCTCTGCAAGCTCGATGCTGATGGACAGGCGAGGAAGGTCGTGGGCTGTTCGTGCTGCGTTATCACGGTATGGCAGACAATTTAGCATTCTGCAGGTGTGGCACTTTGGTCTGTGTTGTTGTGGGCTTTTCAGTATAGCTTTGTTGCCATCACTGATTCAAGCATGCTTGGTGTCTTCAGAATTATGGGGAGGAAACAGAGTTTCTGCACTTCCTTCAAGAGCATCTGAAAGCGGTATGTGCCGATGGGTCACTAGAACGCAACCAGGCATGTTTGCATTGTCTCACGTTGTGCAGTGTATCAATCCGCACGCTAGTCACTCCACAACAACAATGTCAGTCATGGCCATATTCTATGTTTTTTCAGAGTATCATGGGAGACTATGGAGCAGTTCTTCGTTGGCAACTCGGCACCATTCCTCAAGTCATTGCTTCATTGTTTTGTTTTCGTAGCACAATTGTGTGAAAGGCATTTTCTGAGCAAGCTACGGCTCTAGTCGAGTTGATATGGGCACGAATTGAGATTGGGAGGGGGGAAAGGGGAAGTTGAGAGGCTTTCCTGCAAGACTGGAGGTTACTGAAATGAATGGGATGGAAAGACTTTGCACAATCTTCAGTGGCAGAGTTATTTTCACAACTCACGATAAATCACCGAATGTGTGGACAAGGGCATCCAGTTTCTGTGAAGACAATTCCAGGATCCCAGATTGTGCCAATTCTGTATGCCAGTACTACCGCTGCCTATGGAACTACTGTCAGCATTGCATTATTGGACGCAACCTTGCCTCACAATGCAGTGGGCTTTTTCCTCAACTGCTCCTCGATGGATTGAAAACAAGAAATGTCGACTGGCCTGAATGGCAGCATTTCAATTCCAAGAGCGGGGAGACTGTTCACAAGCTGCATATGTTCCTTGCGTTGGCAAATGTTTGTTGCTTCCTTGTTCATTCGGCAAATGGCGTATATGTGTGCGTATTGGTCACATTTTCTCAGTGACTAAAGCAGGAACCTCCCCAGTGCTGAAGCTGGCAGTTGTCACCAACGTTGCCAATTTCATAGTGAACTGACTGCCGTGTGCTCTGTTGTGCCAGAGCTGAATCACTATGCCCAGTTGCTAAACCTTTTGCGGAGCAGCCCCGTTAATCATTTGGTCTGTGAGGGTCGATCTACAGCGGGTGAAGGGAGGCGGCGCATGATCAGAGGGTTTGGATGCGTGAACGGCGCTGTACATGTCAAACTCCCAATACGAGTGTTTTTTAACGTGTGGCCGATGGAATGGAGATTAGAGTGGAGCAAGTGGCTGAATTCTGCTGCGTTCTGAGCAGTTTTGGATCACTGTGGGTTCCGAGCACTTGATGACGTGGTCACAGTGTGGAATTCATTCCAGCAAGCGAGATCTTGAAGTTGCGAGTTGTGTTACTGATCCATGGCCGCCAAACACACGTCTTTACCCAGCGCTTCCGAGAATCTTCCTTTCTCACTGCAGCCAGGGCAGTGAAGCACCTGTCCCACGCTAGCCCCGCAACCAGGACCGAAACGGACACAATGCATGGTGAAAACATTGGCGCAAGCTGCACGCCTCTGAATTCGCAACGGGTGTGCTCTTCCTAGATGTAGAACAAAACTCCGGTTAGCGAGCGTGACAACGACTGCTTTCTACGTCGGTTGTTGCTGAACAACACCTTCGAAACAAGGGACGCTGCTGCCCCAGAAAACTGGCAGTAATCCTGGAGGAAGTTTTATGTTCCGTGCAGTGGTTGTACCTGGCGTTGAAAACCTGAACCTGGTGCGTGGTTTGATCCTCGTATGCTCATCAATACCCTAGACCCGGAATGTCTATGCCCGGGTACGTACCTTACCAGGCTACCAAGGTACAGGGGCTTGCGGGTAACCAAGTATGGTGGGACCCGGAATTCCAGAGCCCGTTCTGGGTTCCCTTAACCTCAGTCGCCAGAACTTGGCGAATACAGACGACAATGACGCCAACTCAAAACACTGCCACACGCTTCCAAGCGCTCAACGATTTTGCAGAACGCAAAACGCGAACCCCAGATCTACTTTCCGTTGACGTTTGGGCGCAAATTCAACGCAAGCGCAAACATGCGTTCTTTCACTGGCAGCTTCTTGTCCTCGCCTAGCGCCCGGGTTGGCCGACGGCGCTTCACGCCCACAGCCTTCGCTGCGCCCACCTTCTCGCGCCGGCTCAAACACCGGGGCCCGTACATTGGCCCCCACGCGCGCCGGGGGGGGCCCACTCGCCCGCAAACCAACACGGAAAAGGCATTTTCGATTTTCCGTGCTTTGATTTCACCACATTGACTGCGAACGCAGTTATCCTTCAAATGGGAGCAAAGGGCGCATTTCTGGCATGCTGGCGCACCCTTTGGCGTCCGCCCAACGTCGGTCGGCCACCACGGGCGGCCCCGCCACAGAGGCCGGCGCGAAGCCGCCGCCCGGCCGGCCCCCGCCAAGATGAGCCTGGCGGACATTATCGAGCGCATGAACACGGCATGGCGGCTGACCAGCGAGCAGCGGGAGCGCATCGTGAGCCGCGTGACGTCTAGCATCATGGACCTGTCCTTCTTCCACGGGCGGCCGATGGAGGAGGGCGCGGCGCAGAAGGCGGCGGCGGCGGTGGAGAAGAAGGCGCACACGGCGGCGGAGGTGCAGGCGACGACCACCACGGGGGCGAGGCCCAAGCACGAAGTGATGGGAGCGTACGCGAAGTAGGAACACGCAGGGCGCGGCGCAGGCACGGGAGGGCGATGAGGGGCTGTGGGAGGGGGCCGGTCGCCGATTAATGCGGCGATTGGACGCGATTCGTCGTTAGTCATGCCGTTGACGTCGTTGTGCGGTTGGTGCTCTGTTCTTGCGTGTGCGGCTGCCGGGCAAGCGTCAAGTCGGGGACACGCATCCGGGGATTTAAGCCGAGGTCCGCTTGTCGGTCCTGAGTGTGTGCGGATGATCGCCGTCACCGGCGGCGCGGACGCTCCAGTGGCGGACGCGCGGGCTCAGGCAATGCCGTGCGGTGTGTTTGCTGGGCAGCTTCTGAGTTGGGGTGCTTGCCGCTGTTGCTTAGAAAACTGGGGGAGCTGTTGTGCGAGGTGGTGAACAAAGGCGGCGTCGAAGAGCATGCGGGGCCTACCATTGTGGATAAGGTAAGACAGTACTGGCACGGGGCCATGGCAAGGGCTGAAACGCCCAAGTCGAGTATTCGGCCCTATTGATTCTAGATCTGGACAGATCTGTGGCACTTCCAGTTTTTGCCAACTGACTGTCGTGCTTTGGTTGGCCGCGTTTGCCTTGTGTTGCTTGGAAATTCTTTGGTGCGGGGTGGACTGACTGTGGTGTGAATGCCAGAAACTTGACCTGAGTGGCAAGCGGGATTTCGTAACAAAGGAAGCAGCACAGCAGATGTTTCATTTGTTGCTGGAAGAGGAGTGTGCAGTGGAAGCGGTAGGTGAAACATCGATAAGGACAAGATGATTGAGTTTTGTGCCAATGGTGAAAAGCCTTACCACACGGCTCACAAGAGGATTGTTGTGTTCATCGATGTCAATGCAGCATGGCACTACATTTGAAGATGTTAGGTGTGCATGCAGTGAAATGCAACGAGCTTGTTGGCCATGTGGATTTGATAATTGCGAATCCTTTGTCGCAGGTGAAGTTGAGTAATCAAAGTTTTGGACTAGAGGCAGCAGAGGTTGCGGCCGAGGCTCTACAGCACATTGGCTCGAAGTTAACTGATGCTGATCTCAGTGATATAATCGCTGGAAGGCCGGTACGTGCAATTGCTCTGCCCACAGCTATCTACAAGCCCTCAGCTCCCATATAACTCAGACTGGGGGAAAATTTCCGTGGTGGTTCCCCCCTAAGTGAACCTCTTAAGCAGATTGATATGTCTAGGCTGTAGATATCTGTCCTTTGTAACATATGCAAGAATCAAATACAGTATCGGCTGTTGAGCATGGAAGAGGGAGAAAGAGAACTGCAGTATTTGGCACCAGGTTAGGGCCTGTGAATGTGCACAAGTGCGATGACTGGCATGTTGTTGCCGATGTCCACAGCTTGCAAATCAATTCTTGTTTATTGCTACAGTTGCTTGTGGCTGAAGAGCCAGGCAGAATATGTAACCTCAACCTTCTGGCCTACCTGCAGAGCAGCTGTAAGCACCAAGATACATACAATCTTGGATTTGGAGAGTTTTGTTCCAAACAACACGAACACATCAGTGTGCCACACAGCATTGGACTGTCAGGCTATTCGGTTGTTAAACAACCTACTCATGGTATGATTCTATGGACGATCAGTGCTGATTGCCAGCTTGCAGCAAGCCAATGTTCAGATTGTGCTACTTGTGTTGACAACAACATCGCCTCACCACTGTGCCCGCTGACTGCTTTTTGCTTGCCCAATTGTGAGCACCAGGTGCATCAGTCATTTGTGCGGCTTCCAGCTTGTGCAGAGGTTGGAAGATAACATGCTGATTAAGAAACCATCACTATCCTAGGAGCAGAATTCACCATTGTCTGCTGGGGCACCCACTTGAGGAGTTCAACAAAGAAGCAAAAATGGCATTGAGCCCCAAACAATAGAGGACCTAAAATGATGACCTTCAGTAAATTTCTGCTTTGCAGCAAGTTCAAATGATAGGCAGAACAGCTGCACTGAGGGATACATTGTGGATTACCATCGTGCAGCAGCGCTGCAGCAGACGCTTCTGTTGACAGTGTCTGTGTTGCGGTTCTAGGAGCCTGAAGCCCTTGATGTTTTGAAGAAACTCAGTGAGGCATTGTCAGGGGCACACTTAAAGAGACTCGATCTTAGCCACAATGCCCTGGGGGCGAAGGGCATCAGGGCGTGTGCCCCTCTGTGGAAAAGTCAAGTAAGTGCCCTTCTGTTGTGCTTGTGGTAATTGGAACAAGTCTGTCAATGTCTGACTGTGGACATCAGTGATTTGCGTTCTTGCTTCTTTGATTTGTGCGTTAGCCACTTGGAGTTGTGCCAAGTACTTTGCCATCGATGGGAACATTTGTGCACTCAACTGACTGTTTTGTTGTTGGCTGTTTTTGTGACTGAGCGACTTTGGGAATGGAGAGTATCCCATACATAGTGTTGTTGCTGTTACTCTGCAATTTTTCCGTTCCTTTTTGTAATGTGTTGCTTGAGGTGATTGGTGTGGGGCTGTTTGTGCAGGCAGACCTTGAGAGCATTTCTCTGGGCAACATTGGATGTTCTGCTGATGCCTGTGTTGCTGTCGAGGAGCTTGTGGTCGCAGAAGGCCTCACATCGCTTACCTTCTTCAACAATTGCAGCGAAGACGAAGGGGCAAAGGCCATTGCCAAGCTCCTCACCAGGTCGCCCAAGATGAGGGAATTTCGAATGGAGTCCTCAAGAGTAGGCCCCGAGGGTGGCATGGCATTGGTACAGGGGCTCTGTGCTGGTAAGACCGCTGTATTTTGGGGAATGCAGCTGGCTGGAATGGCTACAGAAGGTTGTATATGTGTTTCAAGGCTGAAGTGAGAGTCTGGATGAAGAAACTTGTTGTGTCACCACTGTGCACATCCAATTTCCCACCAATGGAGATCACTGAGTATGGTGAATTGTGAGCATATATTACATCAAGTCAAGGTAAGGAGTGCAGGCACCAATTTGTTTACAGCAGGTCACAGAACAAATGGGTGTTTGCATTCTTTATTGCCACTCAGAATTGTTTCACGCAACTGGTTTTTGAGGAGTATGTGGTCAGAACTTGAGACTGTCCCATTACATTTTACTGGTGTTGTTGTTCCTTGGCTAGCCTATACATAGTGGAAGCAACTGCCTCTCTTAGGACTCGGGCACCAGATTGGCGATCTTCATAAGCAGCAATGCACTTGTTTCACCAGATGCATTGTTTGCTGGTGTCAGGTACGTGCTTGGTGTCCCTGGACATATCTGACAACCCAATGGGCGCAGAGGTGGCTGATGGCTTGGCTGCATTGCTGCGGCAACAAGCAGGATTGACATCGCTGATTGTCAGCGACACAGGGCTAACAGCTGGTGGTGTCAAGACTTTATCGCAAGCCCTGCTGGAAGGGGTCCCCTTGTTGGAGGTTGGAAGAGAATTACAGTCCCAAATGTCCCGTGTAATGTTGCATGTCATTGAGGATGTTCAATCTATGGCGTGTTTTTTTTTGTATGTGCAGAGATTTTCGGACTTGTGTGTTGTCACGACTTGGGCATGCTCGTGATGTGTGTTCCCAATACCATTTCAGTGGTGCGTCCACAACCATTGTTGGTTTGCAGTGATAATTGGCAGGTTGCAGGTCCTGGACCGATTGCTTTTGTGACTTAATGTTTGCTTCAACAGTGTCTGTTACTGCAGATTGCTGTGGCGCTCATTTGTTGAAGTGATTTGCAGATCTTGGGAATTGCACTGGTTGAAATGACTGCAGATGGAGCTAGGGCACTTGCACCAGCACTGGAAGCCAAGAAGCACCTCAAACGATTGTATTTGCGGGAAAACGAGCTGGAAGATGAGGGTGCTCTTGTGATTGCTGGAGCTGTGGCTAAAATCAGGTCAGACAAATCCTGTCTGCAGAAATTTTCTTACTTGATAGCTTGGATACAGGTTGTGACCCAATTCATGACACAGTGTAAACAGAACACAGCATCAGGTTCATATTTTGTTGATTTGGTAGAATGCAGTTACCCAAATTGTTTCTCTGGCCCCTTGGATACCTGTGGGCTAATGTGTGCAAGGGCAGACGTATTGCTTTGCATCAATCTTACCTCGGGCAAGAATCAGTGCCTTGTCCTGTGGGCTTTGGCACCTTATGCTGCCTGCCACTCCCAGAAAGTGGGCCAACAACCTTTTCTGCACCCTGCACCCTGGGCTATTCAGATGCATATTTGCTATGGGGCAAGCGGTACATGTGCAGCTCGATTCGCCATGCAGGCCAAGTACGATGTTGTGCAGATTGTTCCATAGCAATTAGCGATGTGTTGCAGTGTTTGCGCTGCTGCACGGGGACGAGTCCGAAGTCAATCACACGCAGATTGTGGCAACCGATGCAGATGCGCTATGTCTTGGTTGCTGAGCAGCATTTCAAGAGAATCCACAAAACGAGGCTGCAAATTGGCTGCTGTGGCATCCACCAGGCTATCACAGTGTCATGTAACCTTCTGCATCCAATGTGCATTTGGCTGAATTCTGCCAACCTGCAAAGCGTCCTCCTGATACAAACTCGTGCTACAATGTTGCCTGTGGCCATCGGCCAGCATGAGCAGGCAATTGGATGCTTACAGCTGGAAACTGAGCGTCTTAAAAGCATTGGATTGCAAATGTAGCTTGACTACTTTCTGAACTTTATCCCACAAGAACAACACCGTCCGCGCTGTTGTCGCTGTAGTGCTGAACTTTTCTGTGCAGGTATTGTGCACCTCCAATTTGAACACAGTATGGATAAAGGGGCTGCTCTTCATCAGTATGTTGTCTGATGTCAACTCTTGCCCACCACTATTGTATTTTTTCCTGCTCTGGTGGCGAGATGGTACAAAAACAGCAGCATTTACTGTTGCCCTTGTGTACACAGTGTGCTGCAGGAGCTGGACATTGAGGAGAATGACATGAGCGATGAAGGCGCATTGGCAATCGCAGGATCGCTGAAAGGAAAACCAGACTTCAAGGCAGTGAAGTTTAAGGACGACCTTTCCAAGAAGGGTATCAACGAACTGAAGGTAAGGATATGTGGACACTGGGGGCAGCCGTGCATGATCACTGTTGGAGCTGCACACACTACACGACTGCAGCTCCTTGCTTTTGAGAATGGCCTGTGCTGTCTGCCAAAATTAATTTCCCGAATGCATCTATTATGAGGAATTGCAAAGCTGACAAAAAGGCGCATGGAATGGATGCAAGAAGCACAGATTGTGGTAAATTTCTGTCAACTCATTTGGCCACCAACCAGACAGTCCAAACTAGACTTCAGTGTGCCACAACATTCATATTTTTCTAGGAGGAACTGGGAAAGCCCATGTCCGCATGTCCTACAAACTGTTTTGCCAATGTTATGGAGTGGCTGTGCATCTGTGCAATGCTTAGCTCCTTGCACACTGTGCTCATCACTTGTCATTTGTGAGGCGTGGCATCAACATTGAAGGGGAAATTTGCTGCCTGCCTACCATGTACTGTCTGCAATGATGCATTCAGAACATGTGTTTTGGTGCTTTCCATGCAGGAAATTGTCCAAGAAGAGTTCGGAAATTTGAATGTGCTTAGTGTGCTGCCACGGGATGAGGAGTAGATTTCCACAGGTTTAGAGCATTCAGATTTCATCACTGATGGCAGGTGATTTGTTTGAATCATTCAAGTTTATAAACCTACCTGTGACTAGAGCTTGAGTTCTTCATCTGGGGCCATCAGCCGTTTCCTACATTCTGTGGAAAATGCTCGCCAGTCGGGTTCAGCCATCTCTGGGCCATGTTGGGTGGGTGCATGTGCCCAATAGACAAGTCAGATATCAAACTGATGGCAAGGCAAGGCACCAGCTGCCAGGGTGCATTGAGGCTATCTGTTTGGTGGCCAGAGCTCAATAGACACAATGAATGCCCCAAAGGCATACAATTGTAAATGCTGAAAGCTGTGGAATGCACAGGTCAAACAACGAAGAGGAAAATTTTATATTCCCTCCTTGATAGTGCTCACACGGGAATCCAGGAGAATGAATTATTGCCTGCACAATTATGTTGTTGTTCACCTGAAAATTGCCATGGTTTTAACATGCTTTTGCCACTTGTTACATTGAAGTACGCGCTACAAGAATCCCACCTCATACGATTCGTGTTTTTTAGAACAAGTCCACCAGGTTTGTTCGAAATCCAATTCTGAGGTCACAATCCTGAGCGAAGGTGGCCATTCTGGACGAATAGAGTGGCATTGATCCGAAGGCCAGGAGTGGTGTTATCAGGGTCTGGAAGGTGCCCCCGATGCGTTGGCGGGGCGTGCAGCAAAACTTGCTGTCATGCTGGCTGTTGGCACGGCCACGCCCCAGGCACCATGCGACTCACATTAGTTACCTCAACAGGGGAGCCCGTGCTGTAGTTCAGGGGCGCTGCTTCTGCCAGCTGAAGGCCAGCGCCTCCCACAACCTGGACCTGAAATCCGGGCCTATCCATATCAGGGCTTCCTATCACATGGGCGTGTAGGGCCTTGGTTGCCGCCGAAGCACTGGAAGTCGGCGCTGGCCACCCGCTACCGTCCGTGAATTACTGTACCGTATTTCCGATTTTTTGCCATACTGTCCATTAAAAACTGAGAACCTGCCGCACTATCCAGTAATGTGGGGTGGGGTGGGGGAGGGGGTAGTGTACCGTATGTACCATTGCGGCCACATGAGAGGAATGGCGCCAACAGCACAGTGAGTGGCCCTCCGCAGGCACCCCAAGGCTTGCGGCAGTGGTGGAGAGCCACGGAATGGGTGGTTGATTGGCGCCTCATGGGCGCCCATTCCCGCCACCTGCAGTCGCCTGGATTGGCCTTCGTGGATGGTGGGAAAGGGTGCATGCAAGGTGCCACAATTGCCGCACGATTGTTGCCTCGCAGGCACCCATTCCCGCCACCCACGGGGAACAATCTTGGCCCCCATGAGCGACAGGGGTGGTCACCTAGACTTGCCAAAGAATTGGCGCATCGTGGGCGCCCACCCCCACCACCTGCGGCCAACAATCAAGGCCCCTGCGGGTCACGGGAATGATGGATTGAATGAATTGAATGAATGATGGAATGACGGAATGGGTACACACGGGGTGCCTAACTGGCCAAAAAATGGCGCCTTGCTGGCACCCATTCCAGCCACCCACAGGGGCCAATCTTGGGCGCCCACGGGGTGCTAGACTTGCCCAAAAAAATGGCGCCTCATGGGCACCCACCCCCGCCACCTGCAGCGACCAATCAAGGGCCGCGCACGTTGTGAGAATGGGTGCCTGCGAGTCGCCGTTTTGCAAAGAACATGGCAGGTCGCAGGCACCTATTCCTGCCACCCGTGTGGGCCTCGATTGGGCCCCATGGGTGGTTGGAGTGGGCACCCGCGAGGTGCCGTTTTTGCCAAGAAAATGACGCCTTGTTGGCACCCACTCCCACCACCCGTGGGGGCCAATTGAGGCCCCCGTAGGCGGCAGAGCAGGAGCCCATAAGGCGCCATTCGTTTAGTAGTTGTGCCCACCTAGGTCGCGCGAAATGGCCTCCAAGGCTGGCGGCAAGGCAAACTCGTGGAATCCCACAATGCTGCGCCCTCTCCCCAGCCCGCTGCACCACACACTGGCTTTGGCCCTAGCCCCAAGCAGTAAGAGAGGGAGCGTGGCGGTCGGTGACGGGATGGGCCCAAAGAGAGGCTCTTGGCGGTGTGACGCTACTTTACCAGTTAGGGATGCTTCCCTACCTGTAAGGGCTGGGCCCAGAACATTGTACACTAGGGTCATGGGGCGTTGTATATTATAGAAGCGGGACATTGTATATTAAGAACTCCTTGGAAACGCTATACAATAGGGCTTACTAAGGGCGGCTGGACTGGGTGTGCATAAAATAGACAAAGGGAGAGACGCCGTGATGGTCAGCACAGGAAAGGCGCGACTCGGGGACCAGTGGGTCGGTGGGGCGGAAGGACAAGGGACGGGAATGTTCAAATTATGAACGTGGCGGGTCTGCCAGAATCAGGGTGACTCACCCTATTCTGGCATGACCCTTGGGATGCCTTGGGGAGGTGGGTATAAATACGAACACACCGAGCCAGTTTGTAATCAAAAGTTGCTGCCAAGTTCACTCTCGACTGGTCCCCGACTCGAACGGAGAAACGGGCCGTGTCCCGTCCGGCCAGAAAGGGCTACCGCCCCTTACACTACTGCTCCCATCCGTCCCCCAGACCATGATTACCACTCCCTTCGCTCCCTGCCGCTCCTTGGGTCCCAATGGCTGCTCAATCCGCTCCCTACCATCATCCGGGCCCCAACTTCCACTAACAGTTGTTTTACAGATGGTAGCATGGACCGCTCAATAGCAGATGATAGGGCCAACCTCTATGAAGCACTCGTTCACCACAAACAACAAGAAATAAGCACAATGCATTGCTTGGGAAATAGTCGCACAGAAATAGGTGCACGGGCCTTATGGGAAATGGACAGGGAGGTGGTGGCTTCCTTCCTTGCCATTTACTGTCGCACACCATTTGCAAATTCTGTGTGAATCTGCTTCCCAATGCACAGCGAGAAGAAGTGTGTTGTAAAACAATGTGTGAGGAGCAAGTGTATATGGTATCACTCCAAACCTTTCCCAAGCCAGGTCGAGGCCCAAAAACGGACTTAGGCTTCTAATAGTTGTAGTTCGTACATTGTTGAACCTTTCTCATAATGGCAGTAAAATGAAGAAGATCTTCAAAGATGACACAGGCTGTCAACTTGCTAAGGCCCTGGTCACATCAAATTGTAATAATGACCATTTAGAGTATTTATAATAGTAATACTTCATGTGCTTGACCAACAAAGCCAATGGTGCGTTTTCGCAGTAATCCTATGCATAGGTTGTTGATCTAAAAAAGGCAGCAATACACTTTCCACCATACTCGCAGTAGTACTTAATGGTAATTAGCATAAAATTGGGCAGAAAATTGCTGCCCTCAGAGCATGTGAATCACAGACCCAAAATAGATCATTCACTTATTCAACATGCCGGTACAATAGGGGTCCCTATATAGCGCCCCCCCCCCCTCCCCCCCCCGGCATGACATGGTGTAAGGGACGGAAGCCCTTTTTGGCCGGACGGGACATGACCCGTTTTCTCCATTCGAGTCGGGGACCAGTCAAGTGAGAGCTTGGCAGCAATTTTGATTACAGACTAGTTTGGTGTCCCCGTATATATACCCAGCAAGTTCGTAATTTGAATTCCCGTCTCTTGTCCTTCCGTCCCACCAACCCATTGTTCCCGAGAACTATATCCCACCATGCTGACCAACACAGTGCCGCCCTACGGTTTCTCCCCTCTTAATCCTGGTGTTAAGGAAATACCCAAACCGTTGCTTCCCTGCATTTTTCTAAGTACTGGCTCTGGCTCCTATTATACACCATCCAGTGAGGATCCCTATTTTACAATGCGTTGTTCCCAACCAGCTTGTAATATACAATGTACCAGAACTAACCCTTACACATGGCCACAAGGGGGGCACTATTGGGGGGCCAGCGCTCTACTGTGTTAACTTTGTTTTAATGCATTTAATTGTAGTTTTAATCAATATGGCCTTATGTAATAACCTGTTGGTGCTGTGGTGGCGCCTTGGGACGGCGTCAAGTGGTAGTGTGCCGGCACAACAATATGGTAATATGGCAGTGCAATAGCGCGGTGGTGTGGCAGCATAACAGGGTGGTAGTATGGTGGGGTGCTAGCATGGCAGCATGGCGGCGTGGTGATATGGCGGTGCAACAACATGGTGGCACAACAGCATGGAAGCGTTGTCGCAATCATCACGAGCATGCGATGGTTGCACGGCTGGTGTACCCAGATTGCCAAATCAGTGCTGGGGTCAGTGGCATTCATAATTGCCTTGGCTGCAATATTCCTATACATGCATGGTGCAGATCTTGCTCGTGTGGTGAGGATTTGCAAGGGGGAGGCTATTGTTTGAGGTGCTACTCCACAACCTATTGGCCAGTGCGAGCATCAAAGCGCCCGGTGTGGAGATCAACTGTGGTTCCAAAGCAACCGATCAAGAGCTTTTTTGATGACTATGAGGGTGACTATGATGATTGAAACCCCTACGGCCTAGATTTCATGGAAGACAAAACTTCTAGCAGAGATGAGGTTTCCGACAAGGATATGAGGATAGATTTATATGATGATGATGAGAGAGAAAGAATGGACGTGGCATTGGGCACCCTTCCCTATCCCTCCATCATGCTGTTTGCAAGGAGCCCAAGCGGGCAGTGCCCACTTCGCTGTGCATAGATGTAGATCCACCATGGAATGCACACCTCCCAAGGAGGCCTTGGGCTCAGGTGTTACGCATGTCGGCCTGATGTGGGGGATGCACTACTAATGGTCCTTTGGTGTAGGGGACGCCCTGCCCAAGATACGGTAACACTACTAGAGGTCGGCACTAGGCTTACATTACCGTCAGGTGCCGTTAACCTTGTTTGGGAATTTTCCTTTGCCACTAAGCACCGTTATTTTTAAGGGTTTGGCAAGATTAATAATTTTTTGTGGCACCAACTTTGACCTGGCGCCGTACAGTGCCACCTGGTTGAATTTCTTGCTATTGTT